ATACTCAGTCTACTAACAAGTATTTTGATATCTTCAACTAGAAATCTTAAATACTTCAGTACAAATAAATTACTATGTGGTGGAGAAGTTTAATGATTACAATAAATTATTGGGTCTTTTCAAAAAAAAAAAAAGGAATTAAAGGATGGTTATTGGCCATAGAATTATAAGTAGAAGACATTAAGGCAACCTACATTAGTTCAAGTGGTTAATTAAGAAAGTTATTTAATAAAGTATGAATTGTAACCCATTGAAACTTTAGATCATAATGAAACCACACATTCAAAGAATTTATTGTAGATCATAATGAAACCACACATTCAAAGAGTTTATCCACATAAATTTTTACTAAAATTTAAAAATATCATGAATTTAATGTACATAATCATAATTCTATTACCACACATTCAAAATACTTCTTTCGTTATACCATATTGATAAGATGCATCAAAAAAGAGAATCTTGTTTTAAAATTAAGGTGAGAATAATTTGCCTTTGTAGTGTAACTCAAAGCAACATGTTCTCATTCCATTTTTCTCCAATCTTCAAAATTCCCTCCAAACACTAAGCCTTCATTTTCTTTTATTCTTTTATGAAACATAGCAATGAGGGATAAATAAATTTTGGTTTTATTAAATGTATAAGTAGAACTTTCATTTTATCATTATGTTTCTATAATTTAATAGAATTGAGCTTACTAGGCACGAAACAAAATGTTTAGACAGTTAATAATTAAGTGACACAATCTAATTTATTTATTGTTAAAAAGAAAAAAAAATATTTGGATTTGTTTTAGATGATGGTAAAAATATACATCCCTAACTCATAAATTACTCATTTTCATCCATTCAAATACAAACTCCCTAAACCCTAAGATGGTACAAGCTCCAATAACTAGAAGTCTTAATGACCACTATCGCTATTCTTCTAATCTCCCATAATACACCAAATCCTTTTGACTCGTGCATGTTGCGTCTAGTTTTCTAACTTCCTATTTGGGGTTTAATTGAGCCATGTAATGTGTCGACTTGAGCTCAACTTGATAAGTAGCTTGTAAACTAAGCTCAATAAGCTAAGAACTTAAGCTCAAGCCACCCCAACTTGACTCTATGATTCGTGAGCCATCTCATTTAAAAAATAATTAATATAAAATATATTCAAATATATTAAAATTCAAAATTTTATTTTTACACCATTAAACAAATTTATAAAATAATATTTTATATTTTACATCAAATGATTTCTTATCATTTATCTCATAATTACATACTTAATCAATCATTTTATTATAACATTAGTTTAAATTAATATTATTTTCTCTCATTCGTAATAGATAAGTTGGCTCATAAGAAGATGTATTCAAAGAAAAAAAGAATTTAATCTCATAGATGTAGGGCAAATCAAATTAAATTAGAATAATGACTGAGATAGAAACAAGACTCACCAAGTTAAGTTGGTATAATGGGATTTAACATAAGGGTGAATATGAATATCTTATTCTTCACATTTAATGTAATTTAGGGTCTGTTTGGGGCAACTTATTTGGTGCAGTGACATTTTAAAAACGCACGACCTGTTTGAGTAAACTGCATTTTGGCAGCTTATGTATTTTCAAAACGCTGAAAACAACGTTTTTACATCGTACCTATCTAGGTGCAGTGACAGCTTTCTGGCAGGGTCTGACTTTTCAAAAAAAATAAAAATTTTTAATAGCTACCGTACCTAACTTATCAGCAAATTATTCAATAAGCTGCAGCTACCCCAAACAAACCCTTATTCTAATGCCAAAAATAATCAGTCAAGGTTATTAAATTTGCTTGTCAAATTTGCCTCACTCCATGATGAAATAGATAAAAAAAGGTCAACCAGAAAATCATCCAAATAAATTATTTGATAAAAAAGAATATCAAATCCATTGTTTTTTTTTTTTGAAAAAATATATAAATTTTATCAGCTTATTTATAAATTAAATTTTACTCAAAATAAATCCAACAAACTTAGATCCACTCCATCTAATTCTTTATCCCTAATACCCTAACACAAAAGTTGTCCAATTTCAATGCCATGGAAGCCCATGCATTTGCATCAAACTTCATATGCAACATGACAACTTTCCATGAACTGAAATTGCATTTCCATCAGCCAAACCAAAACAATAAAAGCACAAACTATTGCATCACATGATATTAAAAAAGAAAACATAATATAAGCGCAAGTTTATCCCGACTAAAACATAAATTTAACACTTCACACAATAGAAATCGGGACTCCTCAACCCAAGAGAGGGCTGCCTTCCTTAACAAGCACATAGACGCTGCCACCATCACCCCTAGAGATTCTGAGCTCATCGTCCAGGTAGGTGGTGAGGAGCCAAGACTGGGCGTTGGTGTTAGAAATGGGGAATTTGAGGGGGGGTTGGCTGGAGATGGTCTTGGCTACAGACGACGCTGTGTTGTTTAAGGAAGAAATCACGCCTTTAAATGGGGAGAGATCTATGTTCTGCCCAAAGATCTCAACCTTTTCGGGTATAACAATGGAGTCTGTCAGCTGGGGTGTGCCTACGATGCCTTCCTCAAATTTTATCTAAAGGAAATACATCACAGAAACGCTGTTAATATTACAGAGATACCATTCAATTCCTATGTATTTACATATATAACACCCAAACTGTGCATGAAAAAAAAAGGTGTTTTTCGCTTTTTAGAAGTTAAAAATGGTGGTATTTTTGAAGTGATATAAAAGAATTAAGCAAGGTTTAGTTGTTAAATATATAAATACATAGGCATTAGGTGGTATGTATGTAAATGCACAATTCATATGTATTACACATCTAACAACTAAACTTTGATATTTATTTATATAACACCAAATACTTCAACAATATGTTCCAAGTAACACTATGATTAGCTGTTCTATAGTAAACCCTGTAAGTTCATGCACATATTTTGATGTGATTATGACATTAAAGTGTTATATAAATAAAGAGTAAAATTCAGCTTAAATTGAAGTAATTAATAAAAGTTTAGATGAACTATTACATTCTTAGATTAAATAACATGCATTTGGTTGAGATATGATATTATATATGGAATCATTTGCATATAATACACTTATTAATAGGCTTATGGGCATGATTCTATTTAAATTTGTCATTAGATATCAGATCTAGACCAAGTGATTTTTCATAGTTCTGTTGGCAATAGCACACAAATGACCTTTGGAGAGGAGATTTTTCATTATTAATTATTGCAATTATAAGGGGTTCTATTGTCTCATTTGATTCTTATCGCCATTGTATCATATTTTAAATTTATACATGCTTGCAATCTCGATCGAATGGCGAACAGGTTCTATTGTCTAGTATTTTGATTTTCTACTCAAGGTTTGTACTATGTTAAAAATCTATCAATAGAATTAACAACATGAAACGTTAAGATTTCAGCTCTTGGATTTCTTTACTTACAATGTACTTAGCCAATTATTCATGTGAAGGGTGCTAATGCTTAAGGGTTTCTATTATGCATTAACATTTTTCCTTCCAAGCTATTTTGCAAACGTCCAGGTGTTTCCTGATATGTTGTTTATTTATGGCCTATTTGGGCATACAAGCACAATCCAAGGAAAGTTGCTGCCAAAGAAGCAAATTAGTAATTACTATATAATCTAAACATCAAGTTATATATTGGAACTATCTGACATATTTGCCTTGTCCTCATTAAACAATTGATAATTTAATAAAAATAAAAAAAATATGAGTTGAGGTTTTATAAAATGGATGAAAGAAAGTGATGAATTTATAAATTTTAATATTTTTTAGGCTCCGTTTGGGGTAGCTTATAAGTGTGGGCGGCGTCGTACTGTTTGGTTTGCGCATTTTATCAGCTTATCCGAAACTGCATTTCGTTTTCACACTAAACGCAGACCTCGGGTCGACCCCTGCGGCCGGCCCGCGGGCCGCGTTTCAAAATAAACAGCTTATCTTGAAACACACAAGCTGCCCCAAACAGACTATTAGAGTTATGTATTTAATTGCCCATATTTTTTTAAGTAATTTTATTAATTTAATTATTTAATAATTAATTTATATATTATCAAATTAATTAAAATTAAATAAATTTATTTGTAATTGTTAAATAATTATATAATAAATAAAAATATTTTATTATTCAAATTATTTAATAAAATTATTAAATAAAATTTAAATTCAATTTAATGAAATTTAATAATTAATTTTTGTTATAATAATAAACTAATTAATGCTTAATTATGAGAAATTGATTTAAAAGAATTGAATTTATTAAATGTGTAATCAAATAATTTTTGAAATTTTAACACGACATTTATTAAATTTAAATTTATAAATTATTAAATTATACTAACTTGGATCTAGTCCCACATTCCCATGTGACCGGCCGAGGTTTCTTAGGATGAAAGAAAAAGAAGAGAATCAATTACCTGCACACGTTTAGGGCTTCGTACTTCGAACTTTGCATTCGTGCTGACTGAAGTGGTAGAAAAAGGCCCTACGAACCGCACCGAATTCTGAACAGTTAACGCCTCCGAATCGATTGTCTGAGAAATCTCATCCACCTTCACCAGCTGGGTGAGGCTCCCCGCCCCCAGCAGCGGAAAAAGCCCCACAAAGGACGTGTACCTGCCCTAATCCAACATCAATCGACACCAAAACATAACCTAATTGCAGAACACACACACACACACAGGGGAAGCAATTTCATCTTACGCGAGGATCCACTTGCCGTTGAGCAAGCTTAGGGCTTCGGTAGGAGCAGGAGTAGGATTCTTGGCCTCGAGCTGTGAGATGATCTCATTAACCTCCGCCCTCGTCTCGCTCGTCGCTTTCAATCCCCGATCCGTTCCGAATAATTGATCGATGAGCTTTCGCTTGAGCTCAGGGATCACGGAAGCCGCACCGTTCGGCTCCTCCTCAACCACTGCCAAACCCCCAAGCGCTCCCTTCAGAGCCTTTTTCTCGCTCCCCAGCTCGTCGTCTGCGACAGCCTGCACCAGGAAGGAAGGCCGCGTTGGCCGATGACAGATTGTAATTACCTGAGGCTTCCTCACATGAGAAACTCGGCAAGCAGAAACGACAGAAAGTGGCGGAGGACTAAGGCGCGCCGGCGCTGCCGGAACAGC